TTTCGGCAGTAGCCTCGGTGGCTTTCTGCTTTGCTTCCGTCTCTCTGATCGAAGCGTTCCGTTCTTTTTGACCTTGTTCGCGAATTACCGCCAGCTGGTCTCTTGTGCGCTGTACCGTTTTGCCAGCAACCCGCGTCGGCCTAGCCATGCAGTTAGGCTCGACGGCAGAGTGTGGTCCATGGCAGTTTATGCATCTCGGGATAGCCTGTTTGCAATCGGTGGCCTTATGCTCGACAGAGCCGCATCGTGAACAGAGTTCTGCTCGCGAGCAGATCTTTGTAGGGTGGTGTCCCCAACATCGGTTGCATTGAGCAATTTTTGGCTTGCGCTGGAGTTCGTGCAGCCGACCACTTTCTTCAAATAGTCGTTCACCAAGCTTTGGTTTTCCTGACGCATAATGTAGCACCCAGTCTGTTGATGGCCTTGCCATGCTAGTCGCAAAAGCGCGAGCAGATGTTGGTCTGACGCCGGTCTTGAGGGTGGCTTCTTCGATCACCATTTCTGGCGTGACTGGCACTGGTCCCTCGAGGGTATATAGCCTATCTGGAATATTGGGTGCAAGCACTGATATCCAATTGGACGCGGCTTCCAACTTCATTTCAGAGCTGTCTAGGGTATTCGCTCCTGTCAGTAGCGCGCTTCTTGCTCCTTCCCCGTCAGCTTGTATGGCAAATCTAGAATTCACGACTGTGGCTTGTCTGATCGATGAGTTAGCCAGGCGTAGTTTACTAGCCAGGCTTATTTTTATGAAATGTGGAGACATGCGTCTCCACGGGTGATCCGGTTTGAGCCGTAAGAATACGCGCTCGTCAGATTTTTCCTGCATCATTGCTGATGCCTTGGGTTTCGATGTGGGCGTGTGGCCAGTGGTTGTTTTTGTGGCAGCTGTGGTTGCTGGCTTAGCCTTTTTACGCACCACCTCTGTCCAGGATCTCTCGGGAGTCTGGTTGGTGGTTTTTTCTGTCCCATAGGTAGGGATTGGTGTCGCAGAAGCAGCAGGTGGTGTGGCTGCTCCTAATCTCGTGTTTTCCCTGGCGAGGATCTGTACAGGACGCACGACGCTCGCAATAGTCTTCTTCCTCGACTCTTTAGCTGTCTCGAGGCGAGGTTTGATGATGTGGCCACTTGCAGCTTGAGCTGGTTCTGTGGCTTTGGGGGTGGCTGAATTGCCCCGCAGAATTTCTGTGATCCGGCTTTGAAGAGCCAAACCGGTGAGTTCGATGGCTTGTCGGAACTCTTCGTCTGTTGTCGATTCGAGCAGGTTGCAGTACCCGCTGACGATGCGCTCTGCTTCCGCAAAACGTTCCTGGAAAGCCCTCGCTTGTTCGGCGAGAAAGTTGGTCATGTTGACGGCCGTCGGATTTGGGCTCGGGTTTGGAGAGTGCTGTTGACTCGCGCAGCAGACTGAGTCTGGTGTGGTGTTGTGTGGTGTAGGTGGTAGTGTGTATTGTGGATCGTTGAGATCCATTTCGACGTCCTGGCGCGTCGCGTGTTGGGTGGGGAGAGGTGGCCAGGAGCCAGCCTCTGCGGAGGACTGGGGCGGCATAGGTGATTGAGAAATGTAAGTGACAGTAAGATGTCGTAAATGGAATGCAATATAGTCACTTTGGATTGCCGGGTTGTGAATGGTGTGTGGCGGACAACTGGTCGGACTCTTTTGTAATTTCTAGGTGTTGTAGTGCGCGCTAGAGCGTCGGGTAGTTCCGCAGGGACTGGGCCGTCCAGTACGTGACAATAGTCACGAGCTGTAGATAGGCACGACGTTAAATTCAATCAAAAGACTGAACACCTGTACGCGGTGTCCTCTACGAACCTGGGAGTGAAATATTCTCCCAAAGCCAAGTTCAGTCAAATTTCGCAATATCAAAGAAGTTGGCCCACGAGGCAAAAATCCAAGTTACTTATCCACGTCGTTATTTCGCTCCCAACGAGTTTGACTCCTATCTTCGTCTCATCAAGTCTACAAGTACGACCAAGTACATCCTCATCCCGATGACCACACCGCTCTTCGACCTTCTCTGGCCTCAGTTGACCGCCAAATACACGCCCACGCCGATATTTATACCCGACGGAGGAAGCAAAGCGTGGCGCACAAATCTGGGAGATAGTTATTTGAGATGGACTTGAGAGGAATCAGGATAAGTCGACATGATGATACGAAGGAAGGATAAATCCTCGACGGGCGTGAAATTCTGAATTTTGGCAAGGAGTTTTTCGAATTGGGCTTTGTGCGCGCCAAGACTTCGCTTGCGAGAGTGCAGTTGACACTATAAAAACAAGCAAACGATGGAAGGTGTTGTGGTCCGCCTCCTGGTGGTGTTCTCTGGTATAGTTTGAGTAGCCTGGGCACCTACTCCACTTGGGAAGGAGACACCTCAGATCACATATCGCGCGGAGAAAAGTTGAAAGATGATGGAGGCATGTCTGGATAACCCAGGGTTTTTGAGATGTTCCCCTGGGTGGGTATTCACGGATGAGGGTTGACTTGGGGTGAAGAAAAAGCCACCATAACTTCGCAGTGGTACTTACAAATGAAATCCGAGGCATGAGTGCTCTTCTTGTAAATTGAGTCATCTATCATACACTTCTCTGATATTGTGTCATAGCTAGATAGCTGCATACGCAATTAAAATCTGATGCAAAAAAAAAAAAAACTTAAATCAAAATCAAAATCAAAATCAAAATCAAAATCAAAATCAAAATCAAAATCAGACTCAATGGGATACACCTTTCAGCTTTACAGACAATCTCAATCACTGATTATGATCTCGTCGATCTATCTCATATCCTCTACCCCTTTAGCTCACAACTCCTCATTCTATCATACACCTAGAGGAGCCCTTTGCACTTCATCATCTCCCCTCTCCTGCCAAAGAAAAAATGGCCAATTTCAGAGCTCTACTAATACCTACATCAGAACTAAATCCAAAGATATCGCCACTCTTCTGAAATATTCATAGAGGCCGTTAAGTTAGGATCTATAGACTTGTGCGTACGTAGGAGAATCACTCTCTGACTACCTAGCCTCTTCCATCTCTTTCAAGGCGGTTATATTAAAATATCAGAAAAGTCTTGATAGAGCGCAAACGCTGTATAGTAGCTTATCCTAAGTTCTTTGTGCCATCTGGGGAACCAGAGAGTGCCGTTTATTCGTCGATAGTAGACGTCCTTTTGATATACTAGTGTTCGCCTCGGGCTTCCATCTGGATGCGATTCTTCGTGGCTATCTCAGATATGCGGTCCTTCATCCTTAGACTCAAGGGGAACTTCAGCCGGCAAAGACGAATTCTTCACCTTCCAGTGGTGCCGGAGTAATCGCTCAGTATGCTATGCATATCTGGGATAGCAAAGAAGAATCGCAACTGAATCGAAGTCGAAAGCAAACACATGCATGTCTCCATTTGACGACTTCTCAATCATGCAGCACTCATCATTATCCTCTAAGTCCTCAAACTCTTTCCAAACACACATTATCTCGCCTCAACAACCGATAAAGGCGTCACCCCAATTGCAAACAGGATCTTGCCTCAATCATTACCGGCCACCACTCACTACAAATTTACCACGCTATTTATACCCGCAAGGAGAACATCAAGTCGAAAAATACAAAGCCTGGGTCTTGGCTTATGGGGGACTGTAGCTCTAATGAGACAAACAACTTGAGGGAGAATAGGCGCCTGAGATGTGGAGCGAGAGGGGGAACAGGTCTCTGAGGACCATGCTGAGACTGATATTTTCGAGAAATGTTCAACTCTGGAGCTTTTGTGGGCGCCAAGACCAAGATTTCGGCTAATTAGCTAGGAGGGCTTCTGTTGTCGATGAGTCAACGGCACTCCCTAGCGCCCTGGACGGCACGAAAGAAGCTAGGCTAAGCTGCAATACAGCAATCACGCTCTGTCGAGACTTTTCTGACATTTCGGCACGACCTTCGGGATAAGGTTGGAAGGAGGCTAAAAAGGCAGAATGTGAGTTTCCCGAGGTACACACAAGCCTGTAGCGCCCAGCTGGCCGGCCTCTTCGAACGCTCCAGAAGGATCACTATGTCTTCGGATTTAGTCCTAATGTTGGAATTAGGAGAGCTCCGCACCCAGTGGTTTTAGCAATTTTTCCCGGCTGCCATACATCCGCAAATGGCCATCGTTTCGTTGGCTGGAGAGGGGAGATAATGAAGGGCAAAGGGCTCCTCCAAGTGTATAATCAAATGAGGACTTGTGAGGGGGAGAATTGTTTGAGGGGAGCTCTATAGGAGGCATAGGAGGGGATATACTACTGGTATAGGTATCCTTGGCCTGTATGCAGAAAGGGCCCGCATGTCCTACATAGTCATAGATTCATACAGGACAATAAAAAGAAAAAACGGGGAACTTCAATTCTATTCTATTCTATCCATAGTAAACTGACCATTTACACCAGCACCGCGATAAATGGGATTCAGCCTTGCTGTACGGTACAAGCAATCTCCTGTCTCAAGTGGGATAAGTGTCCACACTATCTAGAATCTACTCAAGAGACCGGCCCAAATGATGTACCACCGCAACATCCAACTATGGCAGTATTTCTTGTTTCGCTTACTCCCGAAAGATGTATCATGTGTAGCAAGAATCAACCACAGCACTGTAATAACTGAATCTCCTATTCACTTGTCTGTGTATCATCTATAATTTTGTACGTTTGCACGTAGATCGTACTCTTGCCCTTTATCTGGAGCCAGACTCATGCAAGCACAAGTCGGCTTAAAATTTCAAATCATGTTCATAGATCTGGAAAGCTTAGGAAATAGGGCAAAGTTTGATTAGTTGCACGTTACAATTGAACAATACACTATAGTTTAAGAATAAAAAGTTCAAGAACGGCAAGTTTAAAAGATCAATCATTAATTCTAAATTAGTTGCACCCCAGTGAAAAGTCCGTTAGAAGCACCGCTATATATATACAAATATTACCCTCTAGTCCCTATGAAGTGAGTAGGGGAAAAGAATTTTCAAAATATTTCAATCTTTTTATGTTTCACTCAAGTATCTCAACGCCTCTTCCCTCTCATTAGCAGGCAACATACTCAGCACCTGATGTACACCTTTAAGTCCACCCTTTCCATTAGATCGCAGCAAGGCTGAGATCTCAAATGCTACGTCATCAGTCTTGAGAGACTCGACTTTCTCACCGACAACTTTACGATTTTCTTCGTACCACATTGCGACCTCTCGGTCAGCCGTTTCGAATAATGAGATGCCAGTCCATGCAGATAAAGTTGCAATGTTTCGAGCTCGAGATTTCAGAGAGTTCTTTGACGCCGTCGACATACGCTTTAGAATGTACTCTTCGTTAACACGACGACGTACCCGCCAGTAGAAGAAGCGGCGAGCCTCTCTCCAAACTAATGACTGACGTATTACATCTTTTGCTTTCATACGACCAGCTCGATCGTGTAAATCAGCAAACTGTAATGAAACCTGCATATACACAGGTAAAAGTAATTGCTCTCGTGCACTTGCTTTAACTTTAATATCACTTAATTGATCTGGAGTGAGTGATGGATCTGTGAGCTGCTTTCGAAGAGCACCGTACTCAGAATCCAGACGCGCCATAGTCTCAAGTTGCTTGTCACGACGGTATTTGATGTTTACTATACCCTCAGGCTCAAGGACGCCACCGCGAGAATCAATATCCGCATACATCTCCATAAAATCTGGATTAATGGTAGGGTCAACGACAACCTGCAAACGTTAGAAATAAATTTTGGAGCCCAAAGTTTATTACTTACCCAAGAGCCTCCGCGTAGCTCTCCAAATGGAGGTATATATACAAAAATTGGTTGTTCGTACTTGACGAGGGCATCGACAATATATGAGCCATATTTCAATACCTCATTGTACATATCCCGCTGGCCTCCAGAGAATCCTCTCCAATTAGCAAGTATCATCAATGGCAATTGTTCGCCATTATTGAAGTCCTTGATTGCTTGAGCAGTCTTGAAAGCAGAGTTTGGATACCATACTCCGCCTGCTTCATTAGTAATTTGCTCCGTAGAATCAGGGTTTGCAGGATCTGCGGGTGTAATATTTTCGACCGAACGAGTTTCAACACCAATTACACCCATCGGAATACCACCAAGTCTTGCACGACCGACAACGACAGTCTTGGCCCAGCCGCCAAGAGTTTCGACGAAAGAGTCCTTATCAAATAGACCAGGTAAGAACCCTTCTTCGTCGTCCTTGCCAGCTATAAGCCATCTGACATCATATGGCTGCTTGGGTGGTGGTGAGTAACCTATTTCCCGATCCCACGAATCACTTGCCGGTCCAATTGGTAATGGATTATTCCTTTTATCGGGTACGTATGACATCCACTCGAGAATTTTGGAAACACCCTCAAAATCATCAGTTGCCGTCATGTGAGAGACTCCATTTCGGTACATAATCTGGGTTCCACCAAGTTGCAAGTTTGAAGTATATACTTCGCGGCCAAGAAGTTTGTTGATTGCAGGGGCACCAGTAAGAATAATAGGCTGTCCTTCTATTTGGATTGCTCGTTGTCCAAGACGAACAAGATAAGCCCCTATTCCAACGGACCTACATGTCACAAGGGTAATTGTGAAGATGTCCTCATATGCACGACTTGTAGCACCCGCAATTAAACCTGAACCCTTTAGACATTCGACACCGAGACCATCTTCAGCGCCAACTATTGTAGTTATACGGTAACGAGTTTCTCCATCCTCGACAATTTCTTCGGTGATAACTTCTTTTGTCTTTCCGTCTTCGAAGCGTTTTTTGGCATCTCGATTGAGGTATAGATACTTGAAGCCAGCCTCAGGTTTTTCTGGGTCGTTCCAAGCGACATTGAAATGAGGTATCAGCTCTTCTGCCATACCAATTCGAGCTCCAGAATTAGCAGATAAATAGACCCGCGGTATGCCCAATTTTCTTGCAAGTTCCGTGCATTTGTGGAAAAATTGGTCTTCTTTCGGTCCAAAACTGCCAATTTTAAATGTGATGTCATTTGCGACCACGACAAACTTTCGACCTCTGGGGTACTCCGGTGTTCTTGCTGTGATAATCCATCCGACCATTCCGTGACTGTTAGTTCCCGGCTCACGATTAACCTCAGCGAGATTGTCGGTGTCATCCAAAACAAGCTCACTGAAGTCAATGCACTCCCCAGTGGCTGGCTGCTTTTCGAGTAGTGAAGGATGCTTACGAGCAGCCTTGGACCAGCTATTTTGAATGGACTGTCTAAACAATTCCGGAAAGTCATAGACATACTGCGTGCCCATCAAGTGGGCCTTGTACCTTTTGGGTTGAAGCCACTCCTTGGTGGGATATGGAGTTGAAACAGATCTCAAATGCATGGATCCGATAGGAGTCGTACCGCCGATACTATGGAAGACCCATTCGCCACCCTTTTCGGATTTTCTTTCGGCATACATCTCCACTTGTATCACGTATCCAGAGGTGTTTGTGATGACAACACGAAGAGGGTAAGGCATGCTAGTAACAGGATCAGTACAAATGATGCGTATCTCGGCGCCAGTAACACGCAATCTCCAAAGACGACGTCCAAAACGCTCTAAAAATCCACCAAGAGCCTCCTCCACTTCTGGTGGCTGCAGAGGAAAGACAGGCGAGAAGTTTATGAAAATGTGATTTAGGTCAGAGTTGTTGTTTCCAATGATCTCCAAGGCGTCAAGAATATCATTCATCAGTCTATCAGACTCGGAGATAAGGTACTCGGCAGTTGGAATTTCATCTCTTAGTCTTCCTGGGCGAACAACTGCACGAGTGAAATATCGTTTGTCGCCTTCAACATTGTTACCGATTGCCTCATAGATATGAATATTCCGATTTTCAGTAAAAACAGGCCGGATCCTGAATTTGGATAGTCTTTCGAGTTCAAGCTGAAAGGCCAGAGCTGGTTCACTGTGACGAATACTTTGATCCTCTTCGTATTTGGGACCACGGAAAGTGTAGTACCCTGGGTAAGATCCATCTTTGTGACCACAGATGAACGTTAGGCGACGGACGCGGCGAGATAGTAGTTCTGATTTGATCTCTTTTACAATTGCATTGATCCTAGCAACTGTTTCATTATCGTCGTGACTTTCGGAGTCACGAACTGCAACATTCACAACTGCTGTTAATTCGTCTTCAGCATTAGAAGACACCGTCTTCCGTTTCCCGGCCAAATCTGGCATTAGTCCGTTAGGGTACTTTTTACGACCTGAAGATGTAGGAAGAAATTCGAGGGCTCGGACTAAGTATTCTTCGGCTTCATCAAGATAAGGGACGGGTACTATGACACCCTTTCTAATAGGTTCGTGGCTCTCGCGATTCACAAGATATGACATATCGCTGATGGATGCTACGCGTTGAAAATTACTTTTGAAATCTGAAGAGGCAGGTGTGACTGCGCCTGACTGGGCTGGTAGTCCGAATTCAGACGTGCCAACGTTTCGAAGTACAAAGTCCCAAGAGACAATGAACGGAGAATCAGAACTATCGTTGTGGTACTCAACCTTTTTTAAAGAGTAGGCACGATATGCACGCCTGATGTAAACTTCAAGAGCTGCAAGCGAGACCCATGGATCTTGATGGCCGAAGAAAAGTGGTAACACATCAAAGACCGTATATTTGGAATCGACGACTTCTTTGAGCACTTCAATGTCAGGTTCGCGGTGTTCCCATCCTGTTTCACCGTACCTTGACTCAACAACTGATGATCTTAGGATATGTTCCATCTGAGCTGCTCGCTCTTCTAATGAAGGCATAGCACATTGAATGAGCAGTTCACGGGCTTTGAGGGAAACCTTTGCAGTTTGTCGTGATTCGAGTTCAGTCAACTTTCGAAGAGCCGGCCTAAAGAACTGTGCAACGTTACCGGCATGAGGCTTGTTGGGTTTATACTCATCCAGTATAGCTAGAATCAAGTTATTCTTAGCTCCGATTCTACTATGAGAAAGAACGGTCTGAATTACTTTTGAAATATCGTCCTTGTTTTCATCTCTCAGTTTTAGTATAACTTCCTCGTCACGAGATGTTCGATTGGAAAATAATCTTTCTACTGCTGCGTACCGCTCTAGGAGGTCAGCAAATACGTTAAATTCATGAACTTTCTGACTTTCAGCGTATCTCTCCATTACGTCATTTAAGGGAGATAACGTGGCTTTGAGCGCATCTATATCAGACGGATCAACGTTTTCGTCAAGAAATTTATTCAGAGCTTTTGAGAGATTTCGTGCTGGGAAATCGGCTTTTCTTTGTCTTGAACGGTCCATTACTTGAGCAAAAGTCGTAGCAAGGCGAGGTGGCATTCTCGAGCTGAGAGCAGAAAACTGGGCATTCCATTCACCGTACGGAAGCTCTGGATCACGGAGAACATCGATAAGTTCTCTCAAAGAAGCTGCCATGATAACTTGATTGTCGAAACCGTCTAAAATGTTGAGTAGCACATTGTGTAGTAAAACGAACCTTTGAGCCGGCTTCGTTCCGACAACCTGAGGTGGTCCCAAGTCAGGTAGTTGCCCTAAGAAAGGTTGCGCTTGTTTTACTCTTGAAGGGTCATCTAGAGCAAGTATTCCCAAAATATCTCCTGCCTCAAGAGTTGCTCCGGGTTGTTTTATTAGTTGTACAATACCGTCCTCAGCTGCGAGTAGAGGCATGTACATCTTCATCACCTCCACTTCAGCGAATGGTTGCCCTGTCTTAACGTGCTCTCCATTTTCAACAGTATACTTAACTAGTTTCCCAGGCGAGGGGGTTCTAAGCTGAGAAGGGTCATTCTCTTGCTCTAGTAAGCATGTTTTACTATCGACACTCAATCTGGTAGCTCCAACTTCTTCTTTCCAGTAAACGTTGTGACTCCGACCACTGAGGAGAACCAAGAGTCCCCCGTCGCTTAATGCTCGAACACCAACAGAGCATTTAGACCCATTGATGAACAAATGATAACTATCTAAGCTCGACCTGGTGGCTGTAAATTTGTATCGCTGCCCATCATAGATGAAATCGATAGGAAAAACTGTCTTAAGAATATCTTTCGCCGGAACCTGTCCCTTCTCTAAGCTTGTTCGGTATTCAGATATGCAAGCCTCACTCGCAATGTGAGCCTTGGTGACTGCACCACAAACAACAGCTAGTGTAGGGTCGGGTCTTTCAGCAGTGAGCTTATTAGAGATAAGTTCATCTAGCCAGCCAGTTGTGATGGTGTTGTCTTCAAAGGCAGGAGTTTCAAGTAGTTTAATCAAATACTCGACCGTCGTACGGAAATCTCCTCTGATGCTTAGTTCTTTTAATGCAACTACCATATGTTTCCGAGATGCTGATCTGTTTTCACCATACGCAAATATGTGACCAAACTGACTGTCCGAAAAGCTGTGGATTCCACCAGCTGTACCCACAGAGAAATAACCCCAGACGTTGGAACTACTTCTAAAGTTTAGTTCATGCATCATGCCGCTTGATGGCTTAAACCCTTCCCCAGGGTCTTCAGAGGTTATCCGACATGCAGTTGTGTGGCCTTTAGGTGTTGGCTTCCTCTGAGTTTCAGAAGAAGAATCCTTCGAAAAATCAAAATCTATTTCTGTAGATCCTTGAGGATCTACTCCATACAATAATCGGATGTCTCGGATTCTGTGAAGAGGAAGTCCCATTGCAATTTGAAGCTGCGCCGCGGGTAAATTGACACCACTGACCATTTCTGTCGTTGGATGTTCCACCTGAAGCCGGGGATTTAATTCCAAAAAATAGAATTTATCTTCAGCATGGGAGTACAAATATTCGACAGTCCCAGCAGAAACGTAGCCTACAAGACGTCCTAGGCGGACGGCGGCTTTTTCCATGTCTTGAAAAGTTGACGTCTTTGCTATTGTAACAGGTGCCTCCTCGATGATTTTTTGATGCCTTCGTTGAACAGAGCAATCCCTTCCGAATAGTGAGATGTTGTTTCCATATTCATCGGCCAGTAACTGCACCTCTAAATGTCTCGCATTGCCAGCAAGCTTCATTATAAATATTGGCGATCCAGGAATTTCATTTGCTGCAGCTTTGTAAAGCGCCTCAAATCCCTCGTCGGAATCTACTTTTCGAATACCCTTACCACCACCACCTTCGGAAGCTTTAATCATGACTGGGAACCCAATTTCTCGTGCTTTTTCAAGCCCCTCCTGCCAGGATTGAACACATCCTTTCATATATACTCCTTTATCAACAGTTACGATTCCTTCATCGTTTACCTCAACTTGGTCTACTCCTGTTCCAGACCAAGGTATACATGGCACCTTGGCATGCTGGGCTACAATTGTTGAGGATATTTTATCACCAAGTGATCTCATTGCAGATCCGGGCGGCCCTATAAAGACGATTTTTTTTGGGCTGGCGGCAAGTGATTCGGGTAATTTTGGATTTTCTGAAGCATGTCCCCTTACTAGGATTAGCATTGTTTAGAATCATTCGTTAAGCGGAAGACTCACCATCCGGCCCAGACGGCATGAACATCCATTCGCTCTGCCACATCTACAATTAACTCGACATTTGCATAATTATTATTATTCGTGCCACCGGGAACTTCTACATATTGATCAGCCATACGAATATAATCGGCATTTGCTTGAAGATCTTCAGGCGTTGCCATAACAGTGAACTGAATGGCACGTTCATCTCCGAAAGTCTCGTAAGCCCATTTTCTGACCGATCGGATTTCCTTGACAGCAGCAATGCCATTATTTGCGATAAGAACCTATTTGAAACAACTAATCAGTATTGTAAGTACGAAAAGAAATTAGATATTTACGTTTGTAATAACAGTGTGTCCATCATGTTTTGCGACAAACTCTTTCACATCACTTGGAGAGGCATTTTCCAGTTTGTTACCTCCGATAAAATGCTCAGCAATTTGATGCCTTGCTGAGTATGACTGGTTTCGTACAAGTGGCACAGTACAGCTTAGTCTTTTGACTTCACCGTTAATTTCAGTCATGGTGTGTGTTTTCTAGCTCGCAGTAGACGAGCTTGGTGTGATGATGTCGCCAGTAATACAATAGAAGAAGTGTTGACTAAATCTTTCTTAATATTTTACAGGCAGAATATATAGGTTTTCGACAGTAACTCCTAGTGTAGTTCGGAGTAAATTTATGCCCTTTCACAATGTCTGAAGTGTGTTGCAAAGACGATTGGAGAGCTTAAGGAAGAAGTGGGAGAGCGAAAATTTTTAGGATAGAATAATTGAAGTTGAAAAGTTCACAGATACCAAGATGTTAGTACCTGGGGCCTGCCGGCATATGATGGAAACATGAATTTTTGGCTGCAGCGATGAGCTTGACTAGCTCTTGGTCAAATCATCCCAACACAGTGCAGCGGCTGGCGATCTGGGCCAAATATGGTGAGTACGGGGTCTACACGTTGGGCTGATCTAACTATATCGGGTAGCCTGCCAATCCAACAACGTCTGCCAACGACATTGACTGTCTGGGGAGATTACTAATGCTAGAGACAATTATTTTCAATCTAAGCAAATCACTTGAAGTTCTATCCCTCAAATAGCAAAGGCTGAGCGCAATCCGTTCCAAGAATTACCCAACTTAACTTCTGAGAACCGCAAGACTTTGATGAAAGTACATCCCGGCGTGATGGATACACTTCGGTAACACCCGCCCTGTTCGCCAGGGTTTTAGCTGCCTTTAGTTTGAGGCAGAAAAGCAGGAGGGTGAGGACACGAATTTCCCACTTAGTTTAACAATCAAGGTCCAGTGTGACAATGAGGGGTCTTGCAATGTGCGAACTTTCGCCACAGCCCCTCCTTACAATCATGTAAATGACATCATCATCATCTAAGCATGTGGCTGGGAAAAACGGGCCAAAATCTCTAATAAGGCTGTGAGGAAGCTTCAGCTGAACAGTGGTACAGCGCTTGCAAGCCCCTTGTCTCGATACGCATCCCTCTCAATCTCTGTAGCCACTTCTTGCACACGCAATTACAAGCCTCATGGTTTACGTAGAGGGCTGGAGGAATAATGGGGCTAGATGGCTGCCATTAAATATGCTTTTGCTATGCGTGTGTGGAGTGTCGCAGGTATAGACAAGCGAGCCGCACAAGGTGCTACGCATGAAAATTGTTGCAGCTAAACCATTTGTAAAGATAAAAGTCTCGACCCAGGATTGTGTTAAAAAATATGAGTCGGCCGTTTGGCTGGAGGTGGGAGTTAATGAAAGGATAAAGGCTACTCTTAGTTTGTGATCAAATGAGGACTTCAGAGCGGTATAACGGTTTGAGGGGAGCTGTACAGGAAGCATAGGAGAGGATGCACTATTAGCATAAAATCTAATTTAAAATCAGGGTATGGCCCTGAGTGTCTATCTGAATATAATAAATAGATCAAATATATATAGTAACATCAACTAAGAGCTTGCAAGATAGCTTTAGCAGTCCTTCATGGTCACAGACTTAGTAGATGCCTCATATCATATTATACCATTTCATTTCATCTCATTTATTTTATTATATCCTAGTAGCATAGTGTCATTGGCTCATAGGCAGAGGGCGCCCACATGTCTTCTAAAGTCTTCAACTGAGAAAGGACTATAACAAGATTAAACAATCTAGCTAGCGTTTCTTCAGACAGCTTGCAAGTGATATCAATTGATAATTTAATTTTCCGGAGTAATAATAACGGTAAACTCGTTCCAAGTCGCTGACAACGAGAAACTGAACATATCAATTGTGGAGGGTTTAACGTCTGCCAGTCTGGTTCCAAGCAATATCAATATTTTATATGGAAGCCAATACAATAAATATTTTCATACACGGACTCACCATTTGACATTATTTCATTTAGCCCCTTCAGGTACCGAATGGGCCATGCAGATATATCTAGCTAAAATATTTACAAGAGAGAAAACCAATTCGGTCCAAATCCCAAAACTGTCTGTCTCATGTCTATTGGTTTTCCTGAAGCTTGCTATAGGATGGACGTTTACACTGTTCATAAAGTCTAAGTTCAGTCCTATCCATGTCCACATCGTCTCATCTTAACGTCCAATGCCATCTCTACTTCCCCTGCGATCTGGAACTGTTCAAACCAGCCTTCTGCCAGGATCCACTTTGTGATTCTCTCCACATCACCTGGGCCGTTCATCATTGCCGCAAAGGACCTATCTTTTGCCTTCTGAAGCATCTCTCTATTCCACTTGTCCACTAAAGACATGCCAAGACCACATGTTTGCCAGTTTTTGAATGATATTCACACTAGCATTTGGGATTAGCCACACCGAGGACCTTTCTTCTATGTAGATAAGTGTCGAAGCCGATGTACTCACTTCTTATTTGAACTGAAATACTTATTTGGGCCCTGGCGGACCTGCCATTAATAATTCAAGTTAATTATCACTAATTTGACTAGTTGGGTGGAATCCATGTTCTACATTGAAAATATTGAATATTTACGTTGGTTTAAAAGATGGGCTGCGTGGTTATATGAATATTTTTGTATTTTCTGTTCCTTCAGTCATTTGCTTCCAACTGCTTTCAGAGAGAATAAATTAAATGACGTACTGAAAAGTGAACAGTCCAGTTACCACAAATGGTCGGTGTTGTATTGGTATTTGTAATGTGGTTCTTTATTAATTTTTTATAACTTAACGTCGTGCCTGCGCATAGCGCGTGCTTTGAACTATTAAGTGCCGGTTAGCTAAGCCTAGGAAGAAGCTATCCGATGTGCTAGCGCCCTTGAGAGCCCAGCCGTTTGTTTTTTTATCAATTGGTCCTAAGCTAAAGCTCTATCTCCACTATGGGTACAGGATCGGTGGAGCCGGTACGGTTTCCTGTACTATTTCCTACAGCCCAGCTCGTTCCAACCTCGTGAATCGCTGCCAAAGGTGCAGCAGATTAAACTGAAACAAAACCCTCCAAAAATTCAAAACAGCTCCGAAAGACAGAAGATTCTTACATATTAACCCCAAGCAACGCACTTCTCACACATTCTCTTGCCCATCATACCTTCCAAATGACATATTGAGTCATTCTCCACTGAGATTAAGAGGTGGATTAGCAGGCACCTTTGATCCAGTCGGTATCCTGCTATCGGTTAGTAAACGCCCCAAAAGGGGGCATCTTCGAGGTCGCTGTTCCCTAAAGCTTCTTCTTCAGATCCCAGCGCTCCGAAACCAGCTCCCTCGGCCATCGAGACATCTTTCGCTGAGACGATGACCGCTTTTTCAGCCCTTTTGGCTGCAGCCCAAGCTCGTACCACCTCCGGGAACCTCCCTTGCCAGATGTGACGAGTCCACGCGACTAGCTCTTTGTTCATCGGTCCCCCACGGTTGCGACACTACGTGAGGGCCTTGCACTCGGCTTCCAAGTGGATGTTAGATCTGCAGTTCCAGCAGACTGGAGCGAGAGGGCAACCACGAGTAGAGTGGAAGTCCAAACAGCGTTTGCACTGTTTAATTTTCAGACATGGCTTGTGAATGGTGGAAATACTATACTCGTCGATAAGGTGGTATCCCAATTTGTCGGAGGATTTCGCCTGTGGCCTCCCCGTCTGTAACCGTTACCGGGCCGCGTTTTAGTATGATATTTACGGGCACATCTGGTAACCGTAAGGAGACTAGATCCGAAGCCTCTTCAGCTTTGGCGTCTATACTCTCCAGGGTCGAAAAGGCATCCGGGATTTTATGTCTCAATTTTTTATCGGTTGTTGCGATTGCGAAACCTGTCCTGACTCGGTGTATAGAGTTTGTCGTAAATAGACTGCAACCGGTTTGCATCTGGATTGCAGTTCATTCATCCCGGAGAGACAAAAACCTCCAAGGATGGTCGCTACCGAGGCGGATGAAATGTCGTCTGTCGACTTTCGCCTTCGGGGCGTCTTTCTTTGGGGCTTTGGCCGCAGGCTGTGGCACAGCCTTTACTGAAGGGGCTGCTTTTGTAGCAGTCCGTTCTTATCTACCGTGGCCCAGGTGCTTTTGATAGGCAGCGCTGGTACGGCAGGTATGATTGGGCTCCTGGCGTCAGGAGCTCTCGGAAGAGGGTTCCCTGGGCGAGGAGGAATTTCTTCAACAATTTCGACTGACCCGATCATGTCAGTATCGGGCTCGTTGACGATGGGAAAGGATTTATCCTTTCTTTTTGCAACGGCCTGACCTGTCTTCGCGCATTTTGAAGACTGGGCGAGGTCAGGTAGTTTTTCGAGAGCCCTCAGGCGGACTCTCGAGATGTCCAACATTGTGTTGGGAAGCTTTTTTCGAACAGGTGGCATCATTAAAATGCCAGCGACTCGATCACAATTTATTGAGAGAATGTGACGAGCGCGAGAAGGGGGTAAAGGAGATATTCGATAACTCGAATTTCAAAAGAAATGGTGTGGGTGTATTTTATTATACTACTTGAGCCAAAGACTATCTAGCACATTGGGATCCTTTCTGGCCCTGGTCACACCTTGTACAGTGCTCCTTGCTTCTCATGTTTCTCGAAAGATCATTGATATATTGCTTTTGATGAATAGGCATTCAGCTCAGTCTTTACACGTGGAACTCGGCAACCTTTTCCGCGTAACCTTCTACTCAAAAAAATAAAATGGTAGCAATGGAAACTGTGTGCGCGGGGAAAAGTCTCAAAAAACCTGTAGCACCAGCCAGGCGAGGTGCGCATAATGATCTATATCTCCCCTCTTTGCAACGTTCGAGGCCGACTTGATCCAATCCACCATCTCCGTATCGGGTGCAGGGTACGCTCCAGAAACTCGTCGGATGGCTTTTCTTCCATGGTCAAGGGTTGGTGATGAGTAGGGCTCCGACCCTACCATCTAATCTGATCGTGGTTAGCTTCATGATAATGGTAATAGGAGAAAGTCTTGAGGGATGAAGACGATACAGACCGTGAAAGCGATTAAGAATCCCCATCGAAGTGGGGACTTTGTTACCCAACTTCGGCTCTACAGACTCTACAGTGAGAGCTGGAGGTTCATAGGGGATACCACTGACAAGGGTTGAGAATGGTTCCCCTATCTGAGTTGTGTCAACTTATTTTCTACGGTTTCTCCTGTAAGTTACGTTTGCTTTGTTCATCCAGTGTTAATTTCGTCCTATCCCCCTCTCAATCGGTTCACCTTCTCTGTTACGGTTTGACCGTTGTTTGAGCTCAGGTGGATACCCAAGCGTATTGTTGAGGTTTCATGTTGTAAGACTATAAGGAAATGTTAGGGAAAACTGGAAGATACGACGCTGCTAGCCAAGGGGCCAGATTAGTATCACAGCGTACTGATTCTTGATAATGTGTGGTTGGGCAGCAAGTATTCGACCTAGGGCGAAAACATCAGTCAAGACAATCACTGAGGGACTGATTGTTGTAAATACCCGTTAGTTGTGGCTATATTTCCCTTTCTACTTTACACAGTTTTTGATTTGATTTCATTTAGCCCGTTTAGGTATATCTAGCTATAATATTTACACAGGAGGAAACCAAATTCGGTAAAACCCCCTATAACTGTGTCTCATGTCTATTGGTTACCTACAGGAAGTGAGTTTGCACTGTTTATACAGTGTGAAATCCGTCTTATCCTTGTCCACATCGTCTCATCCTTTCGTCCAATGCTATTTCTACTTCTCCTGCAAGCCGGAATTGTTCAAACCAGCCTTTTGCCAGGATCCATTTTGTAATTATTTCTTTGTCATCTGGGCTGTTTATCATTGCCGCAAATGACCTGTCTTTTGCCTTTTGAAGCACCTCTCATCTTCCCATGGCCCACTGAGGACACGCCAAGACCATATGTTTGACATTTTGAGACGGATATCCACACTGACATTTTGGATCAATCACTCCGGGAACTTTCCTTCGATACAGATAAGAGTTAAGACCAATGTGCTCACTTCTTATCTGAACTGCAATACTGCTTTGGGCCCTACTTAGGTTTCGGTGGATGTTTGAGGGTGTGTTTCTATATGTAATCCTTTTTCTGCCTGTTGTTTCATCTATACTTTATACAGTTTATTAATTCGACTAAATCGCCACCAGCTTGGGTTTCCCGTCATATTTTCATTTACTGCTGTCTCGACTGACCTGGACAGCGAGAACTCTTCGGACCATCGCCGAGCTAGAATGCACTGTGCAGTTCTTCCTATATCACCGTGACCTCAAAAGGCCTATTTTCTACCCATCGCAACATCCCTCTTCTTCTCTTAGACCACTGAGAAAACACCAAAATCATTGGTTAGATGTTAGATGACGGATATCCACGACGGCACCTTGGATAGCCACTCAGTGCATCCGCCTGCGACGCAGACAAGAGCTGAGTGCGATTAGCTTTTTTCTCATCTAAATTCCGACACTGCTTTGGGCCTTGATGGTTAGAAATGGAGACACATAGTGATTTTGACGTACGGGCCCTCCATTTCGTCTAGGTTTCTGACACGATCTTGTGTGTATTTGAGAGGTTGGAATGGTTAATATGGTGGCGCTTCAGGCTATCTATTGGATACATGAGCGGCTGCATGGCGTGGGCACAAGGAGGTTATTTGGGGTCTTCTGTGCCTTGATGGCGCCATAATCGTTTGTGCTATGGCTTATGCTCTGTATCGCTTACAATTATACTAATAGCGCATATCTCACACTCTTCAAGCAGTAATCTGAACATGAATCATTTAGTCAGCTTTTTTCGCTCCAAGAATAATTGTGCCCGTTTCATTGCGCGTTGTGTCTAATACTAGGTTACAGTAATTATTAATGTAAATTTTCGAATCTTTTATTTTCAACTATGATACGTTTTGACAGTGACTTTGCCCGGGCGCGGACTTTGGAAGAGCCGGGGGCGCGAAATAGAGATAGTTCTGCCTTGCCTTGTATAGAGCGATTAACCGCCGCTGTGCTCCCCAAGTCTGAGGGCGGAGGGGTGGGATGATGACAGAATGATAGTTTCTCTAAATATCTACCTCAAAGATGAACTAGCCACAAGACTGGCAGGTACCTAGGAATCTGACCTGAGATTGGCGGAGTGTGTTCGTGATTAAAGAAAAAGATGACTCAGTAAACCCAATTCGATTCCTACTTTCCACTTCCCACTTCCCCCGGAATTCTAGGACTGTGTCCGCTGATAATGATTGACGTTATCTCTCAGACTAAATATAGACTTGCGCTAGAGATAGACAGCCTGCGGTTCTAAATAAAGATTATGAGCACTGACCAGCAGAAGCTGCCCACTTACGTATGGCCAATTCCCATTCTTATCCTTCAACTTCCAGGCCACACCTTGCATAGTGCTCCGACCCTTTTTTGTTACGACGATAGATCCCTGATTTAACGCGCATGTAGAAATCAGTTTGATTCAGTATTAACCGCAAAACTCAGCCTCTATTTCTGTGGAGCCTTTCCAATTCACAATAATAACACTGCTACAAAGAAGCCGTGAAGGAGTCATAGGAGAGAGTTCACAACCCGATGTACAAATACTCTTGGCCTATATATATATAAGACCTTTGTATCTTACGATAGTCGAGTTGATAGGACAATAGACATAGAGACTGAGCTAAATTAGCCAGTCTCATGGCTACTCGAACGTTGGCCAGCAACTCTTTTTCTAAAAAAAGTGAGTAATCTTGTCCGCTAAATTACAGTAGCCAAGTTACATTGCACAATAATTCCAAGTAGGTTTAATCCCTGAAAATTCCACTATGGCTTTGACTTTTCATTATCACTAAAATCGTTCCAATGTATTTTGTCAAACATAAATTTAATCGCTTGTGTTTTCCTTTTAAACTCCTTATCCACTAATTTTAACGTCTCTACGTATTTTTATCTAAGACTAAGTAAATTGTAAGAAACTTGGTTTCGTCATATATCATATAGAGTGAAGATGAGTGTGGTTGTGCATAGCTGGTAGAAAGGATAAGCTTGCGGAGCTAGATGTGCTAGGAATTGTAGTCAGCTTACTTTACTTATGCCACTTCTATTTAACGCTTTCATTAGGTGTAGCATTTGTAATAAGAACAGATCTGCCAGTTATGATACAGCGTCATAATATTGTGATCAAATGATTTGTTAATACCTCTGGCCTCAAAATTTAAGTGTGAGATGTTTCACAATAGCAAAGAGCGGTGTCAAGAAAGAGCTTTTGATTTAAAACTTTTTTCGCAGTTGTGAAGTTACTAGGAAATTGTGAAGTTAGGTCTTCTTAAGGCTAACGAAGCAAACACAAGATGCCAACCGTCAAGCTTTGGTCGAACTACTGCTACGCATAAATTATCAACTGCAACACCAAGTCCCATTTTATGCAAAGCTTCTACGGTATACTCAAAACGCCAGATGAAATCTTGCCAAGTCGTAATTCGCAAAAAGAAGGCATTAGCTGAAATATCATAAACTCATGTGCAATCCCACTCCATTTTGATAAATATGTTGTCAAAGAGATAATTATGTGGACTTCTTCATTGTGCTTCACCAAGATCACTCAACTTCCGAGGGCGGGATTTGATTCTTGCTCCAGTCTCGGAAACATTCCCAGTACTCGTTCTTCGGCTTTGTGGGATTAGTGACCCACGTTGTTTGTTGGTTTGTGCAGCCAAGGCGACGAGCCCATCATCGCTCCTCCCATTGGTGCTCCTGCGTGTCGGAGTATCACAATCAATACCAAGAGTGTCTTCAAAATTAAGATAAGAAATACTCTGGGAGTACCCATGATTATGGGGCGAGGAGGTGAAGTTACTACCGAGACTCGAACGAAACCTGCAAGGTTCTGATAACTGGCTATGAGAATAATGCCCTAGTGACGTTCGCGCTCCAGAGAACGAAGTCCGACTTGCGGGACCACACATTTCAGATCGACTTAGAGGTCGATCCTGACGAGTAAAGCTGCTGCTTGCTCGACTGTTAGGCCTGCTATCACTGTCTCGTGCTGTCAAAGGCCCAAACGAAAGGCGGCTTATTCCTGTAGTCGATAATCTTGGAGTATGTTTCGACTGTGACTGTTCTTTGTCCAACGAGAGTGCCGTGGAGCAACTTGCATTACTACCACTAATTCTTTTTTTGCTTCTTATAGTTACATTCGAAGGAACAGATATGCTTGAAGAAAATTGACTGCGGGGAGATGAGCAAGGAGGCGTTCTCACAGGCGCAGGAAGTTTTGATCGCGCAGATTGAACACGTTGTTCAAGTCTTTGCATCTGTGCAGTAAGTGACCGGATGTGAGAAAGAGAATTTGAGTTTGGGAGACCTCTTGTGGCTGGTGCTTTAACTTTGGTTTGTCGAATGACTGAGGGTGTCGCATTCCTCGTGCGGAAAGAGCTGGCTGATGATGCCGGGCCCCGAGAAGAGCGGAAGCCTGATGATGTATACCTCATAGAAGGTTTTGGGGTTGTACTGGAATTTCCTGATGGTAACTTCAGCCTAGTTTTCGGTGTATTAAGAGGCGTTTTAAGTATTCTTGAGACCGAGCCCGAGGCGTCAGAAATTGGTGGTGAAGGTGGAGTTTCATCTCCAGTTCTCGCCGTGATCGCTGATTTTGACTCTAAGGGAGTGGCGATCAATTTTGAGCAAGCTAGGGAGTCCAGAGACGGTTGATTATCAGGCGGTGAGGTTTTTGTAGAAATAACTGGTAATTGTCGTTTTCGAAGTTTGTCCTGCATTATTTCTACTTCTATCTTGAGGTCTGAAAGCTCATCCCGAAGTCTTTGATTTTCGATCCTTAAGTCTTCTCTTTCTCGTTCACCAATTTTAATCTCCTCCTCCGTAATTACGGCTCTTTCGATAGCCGTATTGTATTTATACTCCAGGTCTTCGAGGGATGAAGTGGTATTTCTCGCACGTTTTTCGATGTCATCGTTTTGAACTTCGATATCACAAAGTTTAAGTTGTAAATTCCGATTTGTATCGCGCAATGTAGTTACTTCTTTTTGGAGAGCACTTTGTGCAGCGCTGGCCTCCGTCTTAGATTGCTTGTATTTCGACTGAAATTCATATCAAACCTGGGACATGCGGCAATAGGAAATCGGGGTTTTTTTCATACCTTCCACTCATCTACCTCGAAACTCAAACTTTCGGCTTTTTCCTGCAAAGCGCGTTCTCTTTTTTCGGCAGCCTCCACGTCTTTTTCCAACTCTGCTTCTAGTTGTTGGCTACTCGATTGAAATTCTGCCAAGTCTTGCTCTAATTGTTCGTACTGGCTCTTGTAATATGCGAGTGCGCTCTCCGGCGTAGGTGATATACTCGTTTCATCCATGATTGGCGGGTTTGGTTGTTGACTATGGCAAAAATCATGTGGATTCTGTCATGTAATTGTGATTAAATCCAACGAACAGCCTAGTACACACTAGTAACAATGATGTGACTGTATGTGGCTGTTCAAATAGGCTGAATGTTTTGCCGTCCTTCAATCCTTTTTCAGCAACCTTTACGGAATCTATCTCCTACGCATCATTATTTCACTGAAGATAAGTATCGTTTCTGGGTCGTCGAATTTGCATGTCGAGGTCGATTTCTCTGGCGTATTGTTGTGCGTGGTCATGTTAGGTGTGATGAAGAGTTGATTTGCGTATGACCCCCTGAATCCGCTCGGACGTTACCTTAGTCACGATGCAACATACACGTTTCTACGCTTTCAGGAAGGTTGGTAAAGCGAGCAGACCTAGGCCAATTTGCACTGCCCATCGGAAGACTTGAATTCATCTCACATTTAGGATAGATAAAGTTTGTTTCTAATGTATAAACTGCGACATGAACATGGCTTCCTGCTGTTAAGTCACTTCCACCTCATGATACTTATGGGATGCTCTTCCGCAACATGCTGACCTTTCGTCCCTTCCTGTCACTAGGTCTTGTAAATTAAACTATATGAAATTACACTGCAAACTAGAAAGACTCTTCATTTACGCTAGCCTTTTCCTGCAGGCTTATGCGCTATTGCTTAAAAATATTGAAATAAATTATTCATAAGGGACTCTGACTTTAGTAGGTATGACAAGCGACAAAGTTTTGATACAAAAATATGCCATCTTCTCCTTGTACATTTTCTATCCAGTCAATAAATCAATCAATGTTGCTAAGTAACTCGAATATATTTCACTGATGAGGGGTTGCTTTTATCTATTTTCTCATCATTTATTGCGTATTCAGCTAACTAGCTATGACACGTGGTTAGTTCTGTGTGTACATGTTTGGTAACTCTTTTGCCTTATAAGGTACTCATACACTGGATTACATTCGCAAATACCACTATGAGGTATGTTTGCTTGAGCAGGAAAATCGACACTCCTACGTCAATCACTACGATAGGCAAAATCAAAAGCTATGGTTATCCAAGCATGCCTTTGCCACTGACATACAGAAGCAACGCGAGAAATGGGGTACAGTCTTACTGTATTGAACCAGTCATCTCCAGTCTCAAGTGGGGTGGGTAACCAAGCTATCTAGAATCTACTTGGAAACCTCTTCCGGTTCGTATACCACCGCACTATCCAACCTTGGGTATGAGCAGCCAGCGGTTTTTGAGACTTTCCCTGCAGATATACAGCCGCAAATGGCCATCGTTTCGTTGGCTGGAGAGGGGAGATAATGAAAGGCAAAGGGCTCCTCTAAGTGTATGACCGAATGAGGACTTGTGAGGGGTGGTATTGTTTGAGGGGAGCTGTATGAGAGGTATAGGAGGAGATATTCCACTGGTATAGGTATCCTTAGCATGTAGGCAGAAATGACCTGCATGTCCTACATAGTCATAGACTCAGACAGAGCATTAAAATGAATTAATGGACGAAACCTTGGTTTTAACCTTTTGAGTAATAGCGAAGCTTTCTGTTATGGGGTTTACCCGGTGTTTGTTGTCTGGTTTGACTTGCGTGTAGAGCCTTCAAGGAAGTGAGGTTATGCAAATTGGTCTGCCTTTTGCATCAGGCAAGACTCTTAGTAAATGCTTATGTAAGTTAGTCATCAGCTCGCGTCTTTCGTAAGTTTAGTTTCGACGTGATCTCACTCACTCCTGGGCATCTACTTCACTTGGGATGGGGCTTCCTAAGACCATATTTCGCGCGGAGAAAATTTGAAAGATGATGGAGGCATGTCTGGATAACCCAGGGTTTTTGAGACGTTCCCCTGGGTGGGTATTCGCGGATGAGGGTTGACTTGGGGTGAAGAAAAAGCCACTATATCTTCGCAGTGGTACTTGCAAATGAAATCCGAGGCATGGGCGCTATTCATTTTAAATTGAGTCACCTATTATGTACTTCTTCTCTGATATTGCGTCATAGCTATTAAAGCTGCATACGCAATTAAAATCTGAGGCAAAAAAATGTCAACATTAAATTAGAATCTTCCAAATGCGAAGTGTCATTAAGAAGTATCAGTGTCCTAGTGTTGAAAGGAATAATTTTTGAGCATAGAGCGATCAAAAAACTTTAAATATTACAGAAATAATGACCCCTCATTCATTCATTTGTTTTTAAATCATTTAATATGCACTCAGCTATCTAGCTATGACACATGACTGGTGCTACGTATACATATTGGATGACTCTTGACATTAGAGACACTCATACTCTGTATTTCATTCGCAAATACCACAATGAGGTATGTTCGCTTACACGAACAGTCGACCCTCCTCCGTAAGTACCCACCAAAGGGAATTTAAAAACCTTTGGTTATCTAAGCATGCCTTCATCATCCATGCAAAGCAGCGCCGCGATGAAATTGGTTGTGTTTTGCCGGATTTAAACTAGCGATCTACTGTCTCAAGTGGGACATGTGTCCAAGCTATCCAGACTCTACTTGGCAGACCGGCGATGGCGATGTACCACCGCACTATCCAACCATGGTGATGTTTACAGTGTCGCCTGTACACTAAAATTTCCTAGTGTATGTGTGTTTATTGTCCTATAAAGTCTATGGCTATGTAAGGACATGTAGGTCCTTTCTGCCTACAGGCCGGGAGTATCTATGCCTCGGGTAGTGTACTCCCTCCTACGCCTTCTCCACGTCTTCTTTCCAGCAGTCATACCCCCACAGGTCTTCATTCAAGTACACACTAAGAGGAGCCGTTATCCCGTCATTATCTCCCCTCTACAGCTAACGAAACGATGGCCATTTGCGGGCGTAAAGCTGGTGGGAAAAATCTCAAAAACCACTGGGTGCGGGGCTCTCCTATGACGAAGAGGCCGGCCGGCCGACCGCAGCAGACCTGTGTATACCTAAGAGCGTCTCTCAACATTCCTAGCCTCCTCCTTACTCCTCCCCTGATTCATGCCGCAGGACAAATCGAAGGTTGTGAAAGGATGTCAGAAAAGTCTTAGTGGAGAGTGACTGTCGTGGAGGAGCCTAGCCTAGCTCCAAAAAAGTCGGTATGGACGTGCGGTCGTCGAGTAACTCATGTATTTCAGATGCCCTCCTGGCTAGTAGATTCGGAAGTTAAGATTAGTAGGGACGACATTGTAGACGAGTCGAAATCTGCTTTTCTTGAGGGCGGAAGGGTCTTTTACTTTGCTTTCGTGGGCTTTTTTTTTGCCCGCCAGTGGGTAGCACATGTTGTGATATAGCGAGGGCTTCTCTGACTACCATTGTAGCGTTTGGCACCGCATTATCTTTCCCTATTCCCAGCATCATTATCGTCGTCTTGGTAGTCGTATGTGTTATCGGAAGCGTATCTTTGACGGAGGGGGAGATTACTCATCTCGAACTTGAAAAAGTGTTTCTCGATCTTGGCTCCGCAGACTCTACAGTGAGAGCTGGAGGTTCGTAGGGGACACCACTGACAAGTGTTGAGAATAGTCCCCCACTGTTCCCTAGTTTAATACTAAGTATGTTGTGCACTTCCCTACACGACTCATTAGGTCTGGTAGAAGTCAGGATTCACCTCATGCAAGTATCTTCTTAAATGGCGACTAAGATTATAGATACGGCGACGAGAATATTGAGGTGGAGGTCACGCTTGTGGATATCTTGGCTGCACATACTATGCCACAGCAGGAGGAGCACGAGGATGAGGAGGCAGCTGTCAGATAACTGGGAGCCTGATCTGTGACAGGCGAAGTGTATGTAATTAAAGTAAAAGATAACTCGGTAAAAACAACTTGATTCCTATTTCTTCCGGAATTCGAGGACTCTATACACTAATCATGATTAACATGATCTCTAAATATAGACACGCGCTAGCAATAGAATAACCTGCGGTTCTAAATACAGAATGCAAGCACTGACCGAAGCAAACAGTCCACATATGTATGGACAGTCCCTATTTTTGACCCGAGACATTTCCCTGTCCAGCTTATTCGGTAGTTATTATTAGCCTTCGACAGATGCTGAGCCGCCTGCTACGATTTATCAAGCACTAAATGACCTCAAGCGCCTGCTCAGCATCAAGGAGTATGAGCCAGATGGCAACTCCATGGAGCTCACGATACTGATGCACATAGAAAGAAGCCTCCAGCAGCAGGTAAAGCTTAATAGAAGTCAAGAGACATTAAATGGCTGGCTTACATAATATCTATTTATTTATAATACTTAACGTCGTGCGCGCGCACAGCACGTGAGCTCCTCACGTGACGGTTAGCTCAGTCTAAATAAAACTACCCGACGTGTTGGCGCCTGAACAAACCCAACAAAGCAAATGAAAGCTAGGATCTTATCATCCTGCGCTTGAAGATTAAATTATACACGGTTACCGGTCTCCCTTCAACTCTCATGTATTCAGATGGTATTGAATGAAGAATAGATTAAATAAACAACATGGAAGGGGGAACTTAGTTGAATCACATGATTCCCTTTCGATCAGACTTATTGTGATTTTCCAAAGAAATTTGTGACACGCACCCAGCTATAAAATGCGTGAACTCCCTCCGCGGAAGCGAGAGCCCAAGATATGCTGGGACTAGGATTCTGTGCTCTGTGGAGCTGTGCCTGGTACTACCCAAGGTGGCAATAGAAAAAGTGGTTGGGTGACTTTTCTTCTCCGCATGAGCAGGTTAGAATGGCGTTTTCGTGCTGAAACCGTCGGTGGTATTCTGCGAAATCGCTATGTCCAGACCGTGCAGTTAATAGATATCCTAGTGTGCGTCGCCCTAGACAGGCGAGCTCGGCAGTAATCTTAGTATTAGGACCAATTCCTAATTCTTTATATCTAGATGGAGAATTTTCTGCCCAGTAAAGTGCAACAGAAGTCTCGTACTGGGCTCTCACTTCTCTTCTTGCCCTCGCAATAGAGAATACCGAGTGTAGAGCTGGAGCCGCACAAGCGGCTTTGGCAAGCGCGTCGGCTGCTTCGTTTCCCAGAATACCCGCGTGGCCCAGGCACCATCGGATAGCCACTTCCTCAGGCGTTGTATTTTGGCCGCGTGACCTTATTTTCCAGTTTGCTGCAAGCTTGCGAAAGAGAAAGATTTTCGCTGAGCTAGACGCTGTGGGAACATTAGAGAGAAGACGGAGGGCGGTCTTCTGGTTGTCAAAGCAAACGGTGACGTTTGAGGCATAGAAAGCCAGTGGATTGAGGAGTGCTGCAGTAAGGCCTTCCGTGGCCCCGGCAATTTCAGCATCATAGACCTCTGCCGAGTTTCCTAGAGGGAGTGATCCTCGCCCAATCTCCTGCGTAAGGCCTCGATAGATGACGTACCCCGCGCCTGCCCGGTCTGCTATGAGAGCTCCATCTGAAGATACGAATAAGTCTAGAATGGGTCGAGCAGCCTGCCACTGTTTGAAGGAATTTGATCCCGAGAGTCTACTTACTGCCCCAATCTCGATTAGCTTTTCCTCACAGGGTGTCGACCATGGTGGGGGGATGGTATCTTCGGAAAGTTCTGGTGAAATCCTCTGGCGGATCCAGCGCATGCGGCTAGTGTTCCAACGCCTACGGAGAGGGTGATAGGGGTCAGCTGCAGCAATTCGAATCGCTAGACGGCTGTGAGCTCTGTTAAGCCACGTCTGAGCTGGGCCCCAGCCAGCTTCACATAGAAGTGCTGCTATTGGTGTGGTACGGTAGACTGGGAGAGCTGCCCGTGCCGCGTCGTTCATCCTATGTTGGACTTGCAAGAAAATTTTTTGAGAAGTCTGTTTAGAGTACCAGATCTCGACCCTGTAGAAAAGGGTCGCAAAAGCAGCACCTCGTAGAGCTTGTCTTAGAAAAAGAGGGCTTATTCCTCGAGTGGTTGTGGACAGTCTTTTCATATGGCTCGTGATAGCTAGAGACTTCCGGCAAGCCTGTATAGTATGATATTGGAACCGAAAAGCACGGTCGAAAAAGATTCCAAGCCAGCGAGTGTGGTCATTCGGCGTTATAGTTATCCCTCAAATACAAAGAGTAGGCTCAAGTGGTGAGCTTCGCTTCCGATGAAAGTATTGCAGCTCAGTCTTAGGAAGTTCGAAACTAATTCCGTTAGTCAGACCCCATGTTATAGTGCTATCTAGTTTCTCCTGGAGTTTACGTGCACATTCGTTTAAGGAGGACGCAGACACGAAAAGGGCAATGTAATCTGCATAGCAAAAGCGGCCAGTGGAAAGACGTAGTGTCTCTTCCATAGCCAGAAGAAATAGTATTGGCGATACTGGTGAACCCTGTGGGAGACCACAGTGAGTTTGGAAGGGCGGGGAGGTAGTATCTTCAATAGAGATGATGGATTCTCGCTGCTCCATGAAAGATGCTACCCAGCGAACCACGTTTGATGGCCATCCTTGGTTTCGAACTCTATAGCAGAGCCGTCCTTTTTGGATACCATCAAACGCCCCTTGGACATCGACAGTCACTATACCAGCTACTTTTTTTCCATCCATTTTTCCTGGATATCACAAGCAAGTGCTGTGGTAAGGTCAGAAGCAGAGCGAAGAGGGATGGCACTGCATTGGTCTTCAGCTAGTGCCCGGGGCATAAATAATATGTGATAGAACGATATCACCTTAAAACAATTGGGCTCGACTCGGTGGACCCGGACACTATTCCACAGCCCTCACAATCCGGGGCTGATATTATATTTATACAAGAGCCATGGTTTTTCACAGAAATCTCTTAAAAGAAAACTAAAACTCACCCTAGCTACCTTGCTTTTGCTCCGCTTATAAACTGGACGAGTCGATCCAGGGTCATGACCTATACACGAAAAGGGTGTGGCCTCTCGCCGTTTCAGCCAAGTATCCACTCGAGAGACTTGCAAAGAGTCTGTATTCAGCGAAAGGGAAGGCCCATGATTAATTGCTGGAACATCTACAACGCCCCCACAGGCTCCAATGACGCAGGGGAAGATCCGCGCCCACTTTTGACACTCTCGGAAACCCCGGACATTCGTGCCGGAGACTTCAATATTCACCACTCGGCATGGGATCCGACGACTAGAATAGAATAGAATTAAATTTAAGTTCCTACTGAGTCTATGACTATGAAGGACAGATCCGACGACTAGGAACGATACAATCGGAGGAGAATCTTTACTCGCCTGGACAGTCGGCAAAGATCCCCTGCTCCTCAATCCATACGGAGTACCAACGCATGACGCTGGCGGAGTACTCGACCTCTGCTTCGCGAAGACGAGCCTAGATTTTTCCTACCAAGTTCGCCTAGACCTTGAAGCTGGCTCTGGGAGGGCAAGACTGAACAACTGTACGCGGTGTCCTCTACGAACCTGGGAGTGAAATATTCTCCCAGAGCCAAGTTTAGTCAAATTTCGCAAAATCAAAGAAGTTGGCCCACGAGGCAAAATTTAAAATTACTCTACCACGTCGTTTTTCCGCTCCCAACGAGTTTGACGCCTACTTAAGTCTTATCAAGTCTACAAGTACGACCTAGTACATCCTCATCCCAATGACCACACCTCTCTTCGACCTTCTCTGGTCTTAGTTGACCACCAAATACACGCCCACGCCGATATTTATACCCGACGGAGGAAGCAAAGCGTGGAGCACAAATCTGGGAGATAGTTCTTTGGGATGGACGTGAGAGGGATCAGGACAAGTTAACAAGATGATGCAAAGGAAGGAAATAACCTTGAAGGGAGTGAAATTCCGAATTTTGGCAAACAGTTTTACGAATTGAGCTTTGTGCGCGCTAAGACTTCGCTTGTGAGAGTGCAGCTGACACTATAAAAACAAGCCAACGATGGAAGGTGTCGTGGTCCGCCTCCTGGTGGTATTCTCTGGTATGGTTTGAGTAGCCTGGGCACCTACTACACTTGGGAAAGAGACACCTCAGATCACATATCGCGCGGAGAAAAGTTGAAAGATGATGAAGGCATGTCTGGATAACTCAGGGTTTTTGAGAGGTTCCCCTGGGTGGGTATTCACGGATGAGGGTTGACTTGGGGTGAAGAAAAAGCCGCCATAACTTCGCAGTGGTATTTGCAAATGAAATCCGAGGCATGAGTGCTCTTCCTTTACGTTGAATCATCTATTCTGTACTTTTCTTTGATATTGTGTCATAGCTAGATAGCTGCATACGCAATTAAAATCTGATGCAAAAAAAAAAGAAGCTGGCTCTGACCACAGAACTCTTTGTACAAGGATTTCAGATAGAGGGGCCCAAGCTCCCGCTCCCGGCCGCCTTCGCTATAATGCCTGTGACTGGAAGGCCTTCGGCACAGTCCTCTCAAACCGACTTACCCCCCCCCTCTAACAGATCCAGAAGAGGAAGCTACCTTTATTGTAAAAGCAATATCAGGCGCTTTACGCGCATCTTACCCTAGATCGAGAGAGAAAACAAGAGGCTGTAGATGGTGGACAGAAGAGTGTACAAAAGCTCATCGAGACTTCTGCCGCGCTAGACGCCTTAATTCTAATGCCATACAGGAACGTCTTCTGTTTGGTAAAGTTGTTAGAAAAGCCAAGAGTGAGTATTGGCGACAGAAGATCGATGGAGTAACAAACCTCATCGGGGCATACAAAATCACCAGCTGGTATACCTTGATCATGGAGGAAAAGCCATCCGATGAGTTTCCGGAGCGTACCCAGCACCCGATACGGAGATGGTGGATTGGATCAAGTCGGCCTCGACTGTTACGAAAAAGGGAGATATAGATGAATATGCGCACCTCATGTGGTCCCGGTGTCTAGGCCTCGCCTGGCTGGGGCTGCAGGTTTTTTGAGACTTTTTCCCGCGCACGCAGTTTCCATTGCTACCATTTTTATTTTTTTTAGGTAGAAGGTTCCGTGGAAAAGGTGGCTGAATTCCACGGGTAAAGACTGAGCTGAATGCCTATTCATCAAAAGCAATATATCAATGATCTTTCAAGTAACAAAAGAGGATAGGAGCACTGTAGAAGGTGTGGCCTGGGTCAGAGAGGAGCCCAATGTGCTAGATAGTCATAGACTCAAGTAGTACAATAAAACACACACACACCAGCTGGTATAAGAAGCAAACCCGCTCGCATACCCCTCCCCTGACTGGAACTGATGGCCCAGCTGTCACTCCTATAGAAAAAGTAAAGCTTTTCAGGGACACGCTTCTTAGCCGCCATCTAAAACTACAAGATATCCCGATAGATGCGCCCGCTGTACCCCGAAAAGGTC